AGATAAGAATAGACTAGGCCTAATCATATCGCATATACACTAGGTTACACTGGGACGATACAGTTGCCTCTGGTGAAACAGGAAAAACAAAACTAATACCAGAAATATGTCATTGAAGATAAGAATAGACTAGGCCTAATCATATCGCATATACACTAGGTTACACTGGGACGACATAGTTGCCTCTGGTGAAACAGGAAAAACAAAACTAATACCAGAAATATGTCATTGAAGATAAGAATAGACTAGGCCTAATCATATCGCATATACACTAGGTTACACTGGGACGATATAGTTGTCTCTGGTGAAACAGGAAAGACAAAACTAATACCAGCGAAACGAATTATTTAAGGCAGGCAATGAGTGCTTCATTATGTTTCGGTAACACGATTAAACTTTATGCGACAAGGGAAGAAAATAGAAAACCGCCTCTCTTTTAATTCCAGTAACGTCCTGTCGTGCCCGACCTGTTCTTCGATCAGTATGTTATTAGAATAAAAATTTATTTTTCTGAGCGCATGACCTTATCTAAAGAAATGGCTTATGATCTTAAAGCAAGCTACCTTGGTACGTGTGGAAAATTTATATATAGTACAAACGAAAGATTTAAATTTAAAACGTGTGTGGTATAGATAAAGAAACAAAAAAAACATAGAAGGTATATAAAAAAAAATTAGTTAAGCACTGTAACAGTATCATAGAAACACATCTAATGTGATTGTCCTTAAACCTTCGCAAACGTTAGCGAAGGTTAAGATAAAATTTAAAACACAAAATAACATAAATAGCCGAAAACTCTTGCAGTTACGTATGTAGTTACAGATAAATATGTTTTAGTATTCAGTTTCGGATCGTAGTGTTTGTAAACTCAAAAAAAAATATATATATATATATGAAGTTTTGGAGAAAAATAACAAATAAAATATAACACGAACCCCTGCCAATCTGTTTTCACTACCTAGCACTGAAGTACTGTAGTAAAAACAGACTTTCTTCTCCCGAAATGGACGTGAAAAACACACCCTTTAAGTTAATTGTTCTTTTTTCTAATATTCCATTCAATGGTTTTAAGATATTCATACTTTGGTTTTATGTTCTCTAATATACTTTTTAGTTATTTCACGAGCGGAAGTATCGCAGTGAATATCTTATTAACGCATTTGTAGCCCTTTTAAGTTACGCTCTGAGATCTTGTGAATTCACTTTTTGAGTTTTTAAATCACCCTTTTGAACAATTTTTAAGATGTTGAGTTTTTTATTGTAACTACCACTTAAACGTACTTAACGATTCACGTGTTCCTAATCTTTTACTTCAAACTTAGAAAATATTGGTCTTGAAAATAAAAACAAATTGGATATAGTTTTTCTAGTTTCAGCTCACATCAGAAGGAGCATACAGAAGGTTTGAGACATAAGCGACTGACACAGTATTGGTTAAAATGTTTAATAATAATATTAATAATTTTTATTATTTTTCGTTTATTAAATTTTATAAAGTAAATTATCTTCACTATTAGTTCTTATTTATGTAGGCTGCTTGCTTTGATCGGAAGTTATTGACAAGAGAAAAAAAGGTCCCGTGGTGGTTATTCGATCAGCTCGAAGGATTATAACCCAAAAATTTGGGGTTCGATCCCCCATAGCGGGCACAAATGCAGATAGCCCAACACAAGTTAGTGATAATGAATACCAGAAGAAATACATTAAACAATATCTGTATGTAATATAAGTTGATTTATGTGTGACAGAACTGAACCCAATGTTGACTAATTTACACACATTATTTTTGTTATCCTTTCCTCTCACTTCACTAAACCTCACGTGTTGAAAGAATCGCTACGTATTGCACTTAAGTAACAATTAATCTCATACGTTTGTTGCTAATCTGTTTGATGCAAGCCGCTTTTTTCCAGTTTATGCGAATGATGTAAATCTTCAGTGCAAGTGATTGATAGAGAAGATCACCCCCCTATTAATGGTATCTGAGTGCTGATGTACTAAAGGATCACGACAAGCCATTCACGTCCACACGAAGAGAGATCATTCGGGTAAACGTGTATATAACAACAGAGATATGAAGTCAATGGAATAATAGAAGAAAGTCTGTTTAGGTTGTTAAACAGGATTTTCACTTTTAACTTTACAGTGGAAAAAATTCGTATTCCATTAACGTTTTAAAACGATTGAAAATAACAAAAGAGGCCACGAGATAAGTGTGAAAATGTCAAGATTTAATACTTGTAATTGTTTCTAGCTAAGGATAAGTTTTTCTTTACATTTGGTGGTTTTAGAGTTCCATGCACGTTTCGATGTTAGCAAAAATATATAACTTCAATGACACGCTGTTCGCAGCATTTTTTGTTAGTGTTCTTAACATTGTATTCAGCGTATCATTATGTGTATTCGTTGCATTGTGTTTGGTGTTATTAATATTGTATTCAGTGTACCGTGTTCTAGAATGTCGTTAACTGTGTTCAGCGTATTGCTAATTATGTTCACTGCATTGTGTTTTAGTGTTGTTAACATTGTGTTCAGCGTATCATTATGTGTATTCGTTGCATTGTGTTTGGTGTTATTAATATTGTGTTCTGTGTACCGTGTTTTAGAATGTCGTTAACTGTGTTCAGCGTATTGCTAATTATGTTCACTGCATTGTGTTTTGGTGTTGTTAACATTGTGTTCAGCGTATCATTATGTGTATTCGTTACATTATGTTTGGTGTTATTAATATTGTGTTCTGTGTACCGTGTTTTAGAATGTCGTTAACGGTGTTAATTGTAATGTGTTTTGGAGTGTTGTTAACTATGTGTAATTTTAGTGTATTGTTAACTGCGAAAACAAACCAAGTGTGAAATATAAAAAGTTCAAATGAAATGTATCCCCTCCCCATCTCATCAGAAACATTAGTATTAATTTAGCTGATCTACGATTATCGGCAACTAGCGGTATCGAAATTAAAGACAACGCAGTACCAGGAACAAACTGTCTTGGTTCTTAGAAAATAAGGCTTACACAGTACTTAAAACGTGTGTGTTTTTCCGACGTTCCATTCCACCATATTAAACTGTACATATATACGCCGTTAAACACGACGGAAATATTGCTTCGTTGAGACGACTTGACTTTTTAATTGGATAAAACTACACAATGGGCTATCTCTGCTGTGCCCATCACGGGTATAGAAACCCGGTTTTTAGTGTTACAAGTCCGCAGATTTACTGCTGTGCCATTAGAAGGGGCGAAAAACTCTGACAGGAGAATTCTGGGCTAAATAAGTTTGCTACTAAGTGTTTATTTCTGACACGAGAATTCTGGGCTAAATAAGTTTGCTACTAAGTGTTTATTTCTGACACGAGAATTCTGGGCTAAATAAGTTTGCTACTAAGTGTTTACTTCTGGCAGGAGAATTCTGGGCTGAGTAAATTTGCTACTAAGTGTTTACTTCTGGCAGGAGAATTCTGGGCTGAACAAGTTTGTTACTAAGTGTTTACTTCTGACAGGAGAATTCTGGGCTAAATAAGTTTGCTACTATGTGTTTACTTCTGACAGGAGAATTCTGGGCTGAATAAGTTTGCTACTAAGTGTTTACTTCTGACAGGAGAATTCTGGGCTAAATAAGTTTGCTACTAAGTGTTTACTTCTGACAGGAGAATTCTGGGCTAAATAAGTTTGCTACTAAGTGTTTACTTCTGACAGGAGAATTCTGGGCTGAATAAGTTTGCTACTAAGTGTTTACTTCTGGCAGGAGAATTCTGGGCTGAATAAGTTTGCTACTAAGTGTTTACTTCGATTTTATGAAAAAGCAAAGGCTAACTTATGAGTTTATTTATAAATAAAGTTGAGGGAACTTGTTAAGAATACTTATAAAGTTTCACGGTAGTTTTTTTTTTCAGATATCTAATACTGAATTCTGATAAGCTAGAAACAGGAGATGAAACGAAGTAAGATATTCCAGTTTCTATATTCTCCAAGTCTCTTAGCAATAACACAGTTTATGCTGAAACGGTACCTTAACAGGTAACGTTCACTAATTGCTGTTTCGATGCTACTAGGTAAATCATTGGTTAATTCTACATTATGCTACGTCACACATGGTCTCCTAGCAACATATTCTTTCGGCTTGACAGAGTAGTTCAAAGAGAAATATGCCTGTAACGTGTTCTTTTATCGTTCTAATGATTATAAGCAGGTCTGAAGAGTGGGCCGTGGTGTTGTCAGGCATTGTGTCGTTTCGCGGACATCTCGTAGACTTGGAAATTTCATAGAACTGTTCAAAATTTCCATGTCATTGAACAAACTACACAAATCGAGCCTGATAAACGAAGCCCCTAGCTGCAAACTTCCTCGGCCATTATTTCTGCGGCGTTACCTGTTAGCTAGTTCACTGTGTATGACGTTTCAGACTGTTACTGAGTGAAACACGTCATCTAGCGACTATCCCCAAGGCAACAATGCGTATGGAAGAAGGTGGAAAAAGGTGTATGACGAACTAGTCTACTCCTCAGCGGCTCTATCTCCATCTCATTCTTCTCATTTTAGGAGTTGAGGTAAGTGGAGTTTCGACACATTTCCCGTGGAGAGTTTCAAGGACTATTAATCTAAAGATAAAATACTTTCCTACAGTAAAACTTACTAATATCATTAATTTGTTTCCTTGAAAGAAACCGTTTGATCATTCTTTAAAAATTGAATTAAAATATAGTAGCGAAACAACTGCGGAACATATTATTTAATTAACTACAAAACTAGCAACAAACCTTTGGATATATTACTTAATTAACTACAAAACTAGCAATAAACCTTTGGATATATTATTTAATTAACTACAAAACTAGCAATAAACCTTTGGATATATTATTTAATTAACTACAGAACTAAAGTTAAACCTTTGGAGATATTATTTAATTAACTACAAAACTAGCAATAAACCTTTGGATATATTATTTAATTAACTACAAAACTAGAGTTAAACCTTCTCCAGGCAACGATAGATCGGAGAGTTGTCTGTAAGGAAACTAAAAACCATATGTTGAGGTATTTTCTATTATTTAAAATGACCTCACAAGGACAGATATTAAACTTTATCGTCTCTTGAGGATAATTAAAATCTCAATATTGTCTTCAGGCCTGTTACGTAACATAATTCTGTTTAACCATTAACTTACCGACTTGTCTTTGTACCGTTCACTACCGGTGGGGTTTACATATTGGAGGTGCTCACAGAACTCTCCATCTTTTTGTAGCTACATTAACCTTGTTTCAAGAGCAAACGTATCTTGGGGACACTGCATAACGTATCTTCTTCTTTAGGGTAAGTGTATCTTGGGAACACTGCATAACGTATCTTCTTCTTTAGGGTAAGTGTATCTTGTGGACACTACATAACGTATCTTCTTCTTTAGGGTAAGTGTATCTTGGGGACACTACATAATGTATCTTCTTCTTTAGGGTAAGTGTATCTTGGGGACACTACATAACCTATCTTCTTCTTTAGGGTAAGTGTATATTGGGGACACTACATAACCTATCTTCTTCTTTAGGGTAAGTGTATATTGTGGACACTACATAACGTATCTTCTTCTTTAGGGTAAGTGTATCTTCGGGGCACTACATAACCCATCTTCCTCTTTATGATAAGTGTATCTTGGGGACACTACATAACGTATCTTCTTCTTTAGGGTAAGTGTATCTTGGGGACACTACATAACCCATCTTCCTCTTTATCATAAGTGTATCTTGGGGACACTACATAACGTATCTTCTTCTTTAGGGTAAGTGTAT